TGGAAGGAGTCCGAAAAGCTAAGGAGTTGAACATCAAGAAACTCATAATTGAAGGGGATTCAGAGGTAGTGATAGGATGGTTGACTAAAGATCAAAATGGTTTATGGAAGTATAACAATGAGAGGAGGAAATTCATGTGGCTGGTGCGGGAGATGGAAGTTAAGACATGTTGGGTTAAAAGTTCGGCTAATTCCCTAGCTGACGGTTTAGCTAAACAAGGGGCAGAAAGGGATTCACTGTTTTGGGCTAAGCTGTAACTTCAGTGTATTCTTTTCTCTTTTTCTTAATTTTTCTTTCTTTTATGAGGCTCTTAGTGACTCTTGGAAGATAAGTGTGTTTGTCTTCCTCCTGTAAATTTTCTACTGATGATTTAATGAAAGTGTTATTGATCAAAAAAAAAAAAAATTAAGGATATGGGAGTCCTATGTACTTGGGTTAAAAGAAATGCTAATTCCTTTGCTGATCAATTGGCTAGGCAAGGAGTTTTTAGAAATTATGGGTTTTGGGCTCAATTGTAAGGTTCTGAGTGTTTAAATCAGATGTATTTCTGTACTGGGGAGTTAAGAATTTTTAGCTCCTCTTCCCTGAAAATTTTTTCCAATTTTAATGAATTCTGTGGTTATTGATAAAAAAAAAGTTTGGCAGACATCTGCCACTTTTTCTCTTTGCACAACATTAGATCTAGATGTGTATGGAGAACTCTTGTCTGCAGCTTCAAGAGTGTGCTCATTTTCTCGAGTGGTGGCACACCTTCAATGATACAAGGGGTATATTGTGCTCATCTTTTATGCCTAAGAAGTCTTGATGTCTCTGGTGGTTTCATTTTTTTCTCATTAGATACTTGGAACTAAATTACATTTGTATTTTATTACTCTGGTCAAATATTTACTAGACATCTGTTTGAATTCATTATGTAATAGGATCCTGTGGCAGTTCACATATTTGTGGTTTGTTTATTGTTTATTGATTTATACATTTTGTTGTCTCTTGTCTGTCTTTTATTCACAATTGTCATCGCTATTTTGTTTATTTTGTTACTTTTCTAAAATTTAGGATAGTGCTCTCTCTTTTTCTTAATTTAACTTGATTAAAGATAAATTTATTGATTAAAATTTTGCTTTTTGCATTAATCATTGTAATCACCCTTGCTATATTGTATTTTGTATACTATCTTAAGTTTCTTTTCTTTACTTAATATGCAGTGTGTGTGGGATCATAACTTTTTATCATAACAACTAATAATAAGTAGCGCTGGATGATTGTCATTTGACATTGAAATTTCTTTGTTGACAGGGGATGTCTGTGCTTGACCATAAGTTCTGGTTATGTCATGCGCCTCTCATCTCCTCAAGGTATGTGTTTCCATGTGTCTGCTTTCATTGTTTGTTATAATGGAAGTACTCCAACCATTACATCTTCCTGCAAACATGGAAAGGTGAAGCTGAACTGAGTCCCGATCACCTGCCAACAAAATATGTTCCAGCACCCTACCAACATCCGACACCACACATCATGGCGGGTCCTACTTTTATGTTGGGCCCCAGTTTTATAGCGAGATGTGCGGTGTCAGATAAGTTGGTAGGGTGTTGGAACTTTTTGTTGGCAGGTGATCTCAATTCGAACTGAGTGGTGTCTGGTGTGACTGAACTACTTGGTGGGAAGTTCTGACATGCTTGGAAAATTGTTGCACTGCCGTTCGAATCAGCACCAGAAAACTTGAATTTGGCCATTGGCACTGCAAAAAACCATTGTTTACAGTTTGTTTCTTTTACGTGGAATCGTGTCTCTCTGCCTCTGCTTGTTGCGAGCATATTGCTCAGACTCTTTCTGGAACATGGGAGTTCCCATTTGTACCTGCCCTGCAACAAGAAGCCAGGGTTGGAGGAAAGTTGTCTCTTGTGAAATTCAAAAGGGCAATTTTTTGCTCAGGCTGTCAATATTTCTTATTTGTTTCTTTGTTTTGCAAGGTGTTATTTTTTTTTCTTGAGGAATTTTATGTGGCAAGAGTACAGTTTCCATCATGTGGATTGTGGGTGTTTGTGAATGGACTGCATTTACATTTGCCGGTATGCCAGACTGCCAGTATTTGTAGTTAAGTTCTCTTCTGAAGACCTCTCTGAGGGTGTAAGCAATAGGATGGTTAGCTTAGTACCTTACTAGAGGATTAGAAAACGTTCACAAAAAACACCCCATATGATAAATTTGAAGCAATACTGAGACATCATAATGTATGTGTTTGGTATAGCTTTTGTTTGTTAAATAAATGTTTGTACTTGATTTGTCTTTAAAACCGAGAAAGATACTTGATAAACTGTTTATGGACAACTAGGCGCCACTAGGCATCACATCAATAGAGCAGTGAATAAACACTCAACCATTGGGGGAAACGTTAAAATGAAGTTTCACCCAACAGTTGGTGCTCACATAAATCAAAACCCACTTTTGTGAATATCAGTGTGCACGAATGAATATGATGGGAAAAATACTGATTTGGCGATGATATGGTTGCGTTTTGATAAATACCTATCACGAAACGAAATGACCACAAAACAAAACACACGCAATGTTTGAATTTATCTCACACTGTTTGAATCTCTTAATCAAGGATTTGGGTTGATTTTTTTTGAATTTTTGTTCTTGTCTCAAATTGGTTTGGTTGTAGTTGGCACGATACCAAACCAAGGTTCTGAATATCGACACGGACCAATACGTCGGTATTGTGTCGATGTTTTTTATTTTTGTGTTTCACTTATTTTTTTCGAAAACAGTTTAGAGGGGTTGATTTAAGTTCTGACTACCCTCTGGACTAGTGGCTGACTCGATACAACCCCAATAAGGGTGTATAGGGAAGCCATCGTATCAATATGTGTTGATACTTTGAACCTTGCACCAAACGTAGCAAGTATAGGCCCAACATGAACACTTGGGCCATGTTGGGTTGGGGGTTTTTAGGCCCATGGTCTGGCACAATATGGCCTATATAATTGTGTCATGCTAGGCATGACCCATGGCCTAGCATCGCACGAAACTGTCGGTTTGTACAAACTTTTCACCTTTTTGGGGGGGTTTTATAGAAATTTCTCTCAAGAATTATAAATATTTAGTTTAAGGGGTATTTATGTATTTTGCCTTGCGGGCAAAAATTGACTTAAATAACTCCTAACAATTATAGTAATAGCTACTTTTGGGGCATTTTGATAAAGATGAAATTAATAATTCATTATTTGAAGTGTATAATTGATAGGAATAAAAAACACTAGGAAATAGAATAACTTGTACATGCTCACTATTTGAAACTAGAGGTTGTAGTGCCATAGACAAACTTTGGTCATTAATAAACAAAAGCTAGCAACAACCAATTACCTCTTCATTATGTTCATTTAGTGAGCTTCATTTTTATTTGCAATCCAATTTTATAAATTTTTCAACAAATGAGAAATTAGAAAATTTTGACATTTTAGTTTAGTGGAAAAACATGAGAAAAATTATTTGTGTTTGTCATTGTGGTATGTGATCTAATAACCCCTATTCCATTGTTCACAATTCCATCATAGTCATGTTTTGGTGTAAGTACTTGGGTATTGGACAAGAAGAAAAGTTATATGAATAATTAGTTTGGAAATGTGCATGTGCATGTGCATGGAGGATTGTCTAAATGTAGAGGACAAATTGCAAGTTCAAGGAGAACATGACACTTCACCTGATGATTCACCAGATGATGGTGATACAAATCATGGTGTCAGAAGTGGAATTTGAAGAAAATATTGAAGTCATTTTTTTTGAATATTCAATAATTGTATAATATTTTTAATATTATTTGTGAATTTTGATTTTCAATTTTATTTGAAAGTTATTTGTATGTTTTCCAATCCCATTGTAAATTTTTATTTTCCATATTACTAGTATTATTTTCAAATTTCATTATATTTTTTCAATTAAATTTTATTATTTCATGTGATTAAATCAATTATATACATTAAATTCAAATGTTATAAAACTTTTAGATATTTTCTTTTCAATTTGTTAAGTGTTTGTGTTTCTTTGTTAATTATTTTATTTTTTAAATTGTCATTTTTACCTATCAAAAAAAAAAGTGAAAAAAGTAAAAAAAAGGCAAGCTCGTGTTGGGTAAGTGTTTGTGCTTTTGTTTATTTTTTTTTGTCAAGTTTTACTTGGGACAAAGCAAAAAAGCAGGCTCGTGGGTCGGCCTGACCTAGCATGGGCCCACTAGGTCTCGAGCCTCAAGTCATGGTGAGTTTCCCTCGTGGAGGATTTGTGCTGAGTAGGCATGGGCTGCCAATGCTCATGTTCGACATGGCATGGCCTGCTATAGTGTGGGCGGGCCGCAAAATTGGTCGTGCCATGACATTACAACTTTAAGCGTAGCTTTTGTTTACTCACTCTCTAGGCGGAGTTGAGAGATGAGAACTGAGAAATCCTAACTTGAAAGTTTTATTTCTATAAATACGAAGAGTTGAAGCATGAGTGTTGTTTCTATTCGAATTGGATCATTATTGGGTTGAAGTTGAGATTTTCCAATTTGATCCTATAAATAACTAATCCCTCATTTGGAAACCATTTAATCCGATTAGGATTAATGGGCATCCAAATCCAATTTAATTATATTTGTATTGGACTAGATATTGATCTAAATTTGGTTCATTTGCACGCCCTCCAATCATGTTTAACCTTGTGATCTTTTATGGGGGTTGCCTTCATTTTGGCATTAATGTATTCTTAAACAATCTTGAGATAGAAGTATTGTCATTACCATAGGTGTCTAGCCAAGACTCACTAGGTGCATGGCACTGAGGAGTTTTGGCACTAGGTATTAGACAGTGCATGTCCTTAGCTTCAATCGGATTGATATGCAAATATATTTATTGTAAATGAATAAAAGTATATTATTGTTTCATATTATCATTGGTGTATTTCTGTGTAATTACCTTTTAAACTGGACAATTATAAGATTCATGTTAGTTTAGAATATTTTCAGCCGTTGGATATACTTGGAGAGTTTATCTTGCCAAAGCTAATATTAATCACCACTTTAGAATCCCCTTTAACTATATAATATCTTTCAACATTCCATCTATTAGTTTTTTTTTCTTTTTCTTTTTTTGATAAATAACAAAATTTCATTAGCTAGAAGCAAATAAAGAGTACCAAGTCCACCACCACATTTTCCCAAACTAGCAACACCAAACTAACAAAGAAAAAAACAAAAAAATAGGGAAGATTACAAATTAACTCCCAACCTGGGACAGCCCTAAACAAAATGATCTTTGTCATCCCCAACCTTAGCTAAAGCATCATCCAAGGTGTTACTTCTCCTGATAACCTGGTTGAACAAGCTATTTTTCTAAAATTTATCAACTTGAGGCATTACTCCTCCAAAGGGACTACTAATGTTGGAACTTGGATAAAGGAACCAAGCAATGGAATTATTGATGCTTTAAACTTTAATTCCATTGTAAATAAGCCCTCCTAAGATCAATGTTTTGTTGTAAGCAATTTGCAGACCATTGGATATCAATTTTACACTTTTAGAACCTATACGAGGGATTTTGGTTATTAGATTTGATTTTCATAGAAGATCTACCATTGGATCTCAAATTCAGCTAATATAGGCAAGCATGAGTAATTTGGACTGCTAGATCAATTCAATGGTACTCAAGTACTAAGAAAATATGCCACATTGAATCATTCATGTGGTTGTTTCTTGAAACACCCCACCAAACAACTAAAGCTCAAGAACGTTTTATTAACGCTGATGTGGAAAGTAACTTTATGGGGTGTTTTTTGAAACACTCATAAAATGTCCAACCAAACAATAAAAGTGAAAGAAACGTTTAAAGCAACATTTATCAGATAAATGCCCCCTCAAGAAACTGTCACGAAACCAAACATATACAAAGATAGCTTGGCCAAGGCAACGAAAAAGATAAAGAAACGGGTAAATCAAGATAGGTGGCCCGTGGAGATTTATGTTAGAGATCAAGTTTTGTTGAAGCTAAGCCTCCAGGTTTGGAAGAATATCAATGGCAAAATAATGCATATTGGTAGGGGTGTCAATTGGGCTGGATTTGGTCCAATCTAATCCAGTCCAGTGTGAGTCCATTATAAATGGACCAGGTCCAGTCCAATCCAATGAATATTTTGGACCGGTCCAATTCAATGTCTGCACCATCCAATTTGTTCAAATTCATTTTGGTTTAGGTTGGTTTCAACCCAAACTTGGTCTATTGACACCTATATTCTTATCTTATATCAATGGACTAGTTATTGGCTTAATGCAACCCAATACGATATAAATTTATTACGAACAGATCAGGTCCAATCCAATCTAATAAATATTTTGGACCGGATTGGTCCAATCCAATATGTCTTGTTGGTCCATTCAATCCGGCCAAATTGATTTTGGACCGGATAGGGTTCAATCCAATACCGGTCCATTGACACCCTTACATAGAGGCTTGATACCTAGGTGATAGGCCATTTGAAATTATGCAGTGTGTAGGTGTGGTGGCTTATAGGCTGAAGCTTTTAGATAGGCTAAAGATATACCCCACATGTTAGTTTTTTGAAGAAGTTCCACCCTAACTTGTTGGACCAGTCTAGGCAAGCACAAAGGTAGGTTCTACTGGTGATTAGGAAGCGATTCATGAATGATGTAGAGAAGATATTGGACCACAAATCTTTTGGATAGAGCAAGAATAATTAGAGGACACAATACTTGGTAAAGTGGAGAGGACTTCTAAAAGATGTGGTTACCTAGAAACAGGATGTGAAACTATGGTAATTCGAGAAACAAATCCAACAGTATCTACAGGCAATTCTGATGAGGACATTGGGTTCTTTTGGTGGGAGTGGTTTGTTAGCCCTATAGGCATCTAGTTGAGACTTAATAGGCGCATTGTGCTTACAAGTCTGATGCTAGGGTTAAAACACAGGTAGGCACTAGGCTAAGGTAAACTGTTGTTGTTGGATGCATAGGTAGATGGGCCTTAGGCTAGACAAGGCAGACTTGGGTACGCCATAATGCACATTGGTTGCAAGCATGTAGGCAGAAGGGTTTGATGCCACATACTTAGACTTGACACTTAACATAGATGTTATGGCAAAGTGTGTGACAAAGGCAGTGCTATGCATCTAATTAGGGCATGGGTTGTGTGTGGGTGGAGTGCTAATGATGTGCGATGGTGTCCGACGATGTGATTTTTCAACTATAAAGCTTAACATACTCTTTAGGGGAGGGTGATGACTCTCTCATGGGTAGCACCTGCTGGGTGCCCATTAGACCTGTTCATGGGCTAGGCCGGGCTGGGCTTGGGCCGGGCTTTCACTTGTCACTAATGAAAATATACTAGGCCTGAGCCCGAGCCCGGCCCTGGTAAAAAGCCCGAGCCTGAAGCCCGATCTAATTGAAAAAAAAAACAATTTTCCCTATTCAAATTAGAAGTAAAAATTCAAGTAGTATTTTTTTTTTTATATTTTAATGAACAATGGGCCTACAAGATGATATTTTTCCCTTTCTTTTATATTTTAAAACACAATTTTATATTCTTAAATCAAAAAAATTATTCAAATGGACATAATCACATAACTAATTTTAAGTTTAATATTAGGTCGAGCCGGGCTGGGCTCGGGCCGGGCTATTTTGACAAAACCCGAGCCCGGCTCGAATTTATTGCAGACCAGGCTTTTTGGCCCGAATTTAAGCCCGCGGGCCTATAAGCATGTTCAAGCCCGTCTGGGGGGCGGGCCGGCTCGTCGGGCCACCCGACCCATGAACAGGTCTAGTGCCCATGCCCCAAGGCTAGATGGGGCGAGTGATGATGTTGGTGATGTCATGCAGGCAATCAAGGCACTGGACAGATGCACTTAGCAGCAAGATGGACTTGGTTGGTTACATAGTCATTTGGTGCAAATGTGGAAAGACCATAATAGGCATTTAGCTAAGGCAATTGACAAGCTAGGAGCTAGACACATCCTTTGTATGTCCGTGGGCAAGCTGATAGGCGAGCTGGGAACTTCTGTGTGCAATGAGCATTTCCCCAAAGTGTGCAATGATAAAATAATTGGGACGTTAGCCTTTTGATAACTTCTGTTGTGCATTTTTACATTCATTCTTTGTTGCTTAGCTGGCCAAGGTAGGGCACTTGGTCTCACATGAGGGCTTAATGGGGAAAAAACCTTCTGTGACTAGTATCACGATGGAAATGCATTTCATTTTCCTATCTAAGAGAGGGCCTTGAGTAAAACCAACTTAAGTATTTTATACCATATGATTTTAATTGATACTTCCTATTCGATTATTGTAAAGCGTTAATTGAATATTTTTTGTTATTACATACTACATATATCGATATTTTTATTGAGGTGCACTTAGGGCCCATTAGCCATATCATCAAGAACTTGTAGTTTGGTGGGATTGACCTTGCACTTCCTATTTGGAGGGGTATCAAGCAAGGTAAAAAATATACACTTGATTTTAGGTTGGACTCCGTTCACATCAAAATCCATTTGGACGGATTGAATGGATCAATAAAACATATTGGATTAGACCTGGTCTGTCTATAATGAATTTATATTGGATTGAGCCAATATCTGGTCCATTGATAGAAGATAAAAACATAGGTGTCAATGAATCAGGTTTGAATTGAAACAAATCTAATTAGCAAGAATTTGAACAAATTGGACAGTCTCTCTCTGGAATGGTCCAAAATATTCATTGGATTGGATTAGACCAAGTCCATTTGTCATAGACTCACATTGGACTAGACCGAATTGGACCAAATCCAGTCCAATTGACACCCTATTTGAATACATGGGCATGTGACAAAGGTGGAATGACACAATGCCATTGAGAAATTATAGTGTTGGTTATAATTGCCACTAAAATTTGCAAATTATAAAAAACAATCTTTTATATGTGTATAAATGATTTTCATTACAAAATAGAACTATAACATGATCCATCAATGATCTATTAAACTATTAATATATTTATTTCTCCATTAAGTGGTACTTATATTTTGAACCTCGTACCAAGTGACCTCAACTACTGGCATAAGGAATATTGTCATCACATCTAAAATACTTACATAGGTAAACTTCCCCCAATTTTATATTTCTCTTTTATTTTCTATTAAAACCAAATACAGCCTTAGGTTAAAAATTTAATCTAATTTTCTAGTCCACATCAATTGAATGGAGGTCCTAATCATCATAACATAACTAGGACATGTGGCAAATTACATTATTCATGTAGATACGATAAGCTTTCTCAGTTTCTCTTGGTTGTTGCCGTGTTGGGTTACTCCACGAGAGGTTTAGCGTGGTCTCATACAAGATCACTTCTCTTCTTGTTAAAGAAGTTAGGGAGATATTCTCAATGTATGTCTGTAAATTTTAGTGTTCGAAGGGGCTTTGCACTGACTGAATCGATCTCAAATTGAGTCTGAATCTTCTCCTCACACCGATCTTACATGCTGTAAATTTACTGTATGGGGAATATCTTTCATACTTATGTATTATTATTGATGGAAGATATTCTCAATATACGGTGGAATGTGCCAAAATGACATATTAATGGGGCTACAACAATAAATCAAAGGCATTGATTTTTTAGGTTTTAAAACTAGCCCTGTATTATAAGAGTTGGCTTCCGGGCGTTACAACAGCCTTTACTGCCTTGTAATGAAAATATCTACGTACTTATATGTTTTATTTCATAAGGATGTTTTATTTCATAAGGAGATTTTCTAAATGGAAAATTGCAAAAGGCTGTTAGAACGGTGTGGGCACAAGTTTGCCCTCATGGAAGCCGATCTCTGACGACACTGTAGTCGTAGTGCAATATCAGCCCTTTGTGCATATGGTGACTTTTAACCCATTGGATTCCAATCTGACGTGCTAAAATCCGGCTCCAATTTCATCAGAATCCTTCCTGCCGAAACATCCACGTGACCAAATTTTTTAATGTTCCCGTCTTGGTCGGAGATGAAAAGCTCAGTACTCGCTTCCTCATTTAGTCATTTCTTCATTTCTCTCTGTCTCATCAATAATGATCAGCGATTTCTAGAGACCGAAGATGCAGTCCTCACTCTACCTTTGTCTAGGGGGAAGAAGCATTATAACACCTGAACCGAATCCCTTCACAATCACAACCAATCCTACAACAAGTAAATCGCGACTGTCAGTCTTCACTCCTTCCAGAGCCGTCCTTTCCACTTTAATCTCCTCTTCCCAGTCTTCTTTCGGATGGGAATCTTTTATTCCACACAGCCAGAGCCTGTTCATCTGTGCTCCAACAAGTAGATTCATCCAGAGAACAAGGAAAACAGTTCCTTTACCATGTCCACCTTATTCTGCCAATTCATCAAACACCATCAGCAGCAGCGGTGAGGGTGGTCATCGTAGTCTTCGGGGCTGGATAGAATTGGTGGGAGAAGTCTTGTCGACGTTATTCCCAATATGGGTAGCTCTGGGTTGCCTTCTGGGCCTCCTAAAACCAAGTTCCTTCAATTGGGTTCAACCCAAGTTGACGATCCTAGGCCTTACCCTCACCATGCTCGGCATGGGTATGACGCTTACTCTTGATGATCTCCGAGGCGCATTGGCAATGCCGAAGGAATTGCTCACTGGTTTCGTACTCCAATACTCGGTCAGTTCCATCCCCTACCCTCAGCCACTATTCTTGCCCCTCATTTCCTTTTATTTACACGAACATTATGATCTACTCTTTGCTACTAATGACTTACTGTTTGTCTTTTTGAGACCTCACAACAAGACTAAACATCACATCTTTTGTTACTGCTTTTAAATGGAATTTAGTAAAGATTTCTAAAGAAGAATTTTCCTTTTATTTTATTTGGTTCGCCTATGGATAGGTTGTAGCCTTGTAGGGCCACCCTCTTAAGAGGAAATATCTCTTGATACAGGCAATGGTGGCACCGAATGCACTGATCTGGCCCAAATGATTGGGATGACGGTTCAGGCAATGGTGGCACCGGTGTCAATCTAAATTTTGATTGTCATTGAAATGGATTTTTTCTTCTTTCCATTTCAATTTTCAGAACATGTTAGTCATACTTTATATTTGGTCGTGATAGCTTACTTTACCCATGGGATGATAATATGATGGGTGATCACTGATCAGCACTGTGCATCCATCACTCGTCAGCATTGTGCATCCATCTCTTGTAAGTTGTGATCACAACTCACAAGCAACTACATTTCTGCAGTCACTTATCACAATGGCCTAGAGAGAGATTGGTACCCAATATACCTCCTTACTGTCTAGATCACATTTTCCATGTGACAGATGACCCAAGTTGGGCAGAGACCATCCAAGATATTCTAAACTATTCAGGATTTCATTTATGGATATACTAATAGCTTGCCGAATGACACCAATAATGCAGATTCTCCAGTCTCTTTGTACTCCTACAGCCATGATCTCAAATTTTATTAGGTTGATGCATAGAACCTAAGAAAGCAGCTTCAAACTATTGGAGTACAAAATGGAGATCTAACAATTGATGCTTTAAAGTGCCACAATAGAATAGGGTATTCAAAAAACTGTAACAAATTGGTTTAGCAATATCACCTTTTGCATCAAAACTGTCGTTAAAGCCACCTTCCATTTTCCTTTTAGTCAGTTGTGTACAGGCTTCTGTGATGCACATGAGTAGGAGGAAAACAAGATCTCCCTGGTGTGCTCCCCTTGAACTTCTGAAACAACTTCAGGAAACACCACTAAATGCACATAATTGTTGCAAAGGGAATCAAATCATAAGATCCCCAGTGGTGGGACTCAATTTGGATCAGGATTTGAAGCATGGATCATAAGGTTATATAATACTAAGGTAATAAACATTGTTTGTTGCCATAAATTTATGTGGACTATGAAGGATATGTTTCTGCTCAATCTCTCATCATGTCAATTTACAATTTATGGATTCATAAACCATTGCCCCTATAGGTCTGCAACATGTAAAAATGATTTGCCCTATTTAGTTTGCCTCCATCATGCAAGTAGTTGAACCTCATAGTCAATAGACCCACATATAATGGTTCTTTAACCAATGTATTGCAGTATCGGAGGAAAATAAACTGAAAAAGATCCTTAAATAGCTCAAATGAGTTTTTAATATAGTAAGAGCCTTAAGACAAAAGCCCTTGAATAAAGAAAAGGAAATGTTAAGATACGGAACCATTATATGTGAGTCTATTGACTATGAGGTTCAACTAATGTGAATTTATAAATTTAATGTGAATTTATAAATTTAATGTGAATTTATAAATCAGATAAACCATTATATTCATGAATTCAATCATAAGATTTAGGCAATGTTTGGTAGATTATTATTATTTTTTCAGAATTGGATCCAATGGTAAGATTTGAACCTGGACCCTTGGTTTTCAGGACTTGGATCAAGAATTATATCATAAATGGTAGGATTTTGACAAAATTGTTGATGAATACAAGAAATGCAGTGCTTTTTAATTTTTCCTTCTTTTAAATGACRTTTGAACTGCTTCCCTATTCAAAAATCAAACTACCAAAGTACCTCATAGCCCTATGATRAATGTCTTAAGCCCTTTGATTCCCTGTGCAATTAGTGTGTTGCTCCATGCACTCAATTAGAAGAAGGATTTAGGTGCTATCTTTTCTCATGACCTGATAGTGAAAAGAAACAGAAAGGGTGTTGCCTCAAAAGTTCAGCTTTACAGCTTTAGTGAGAGATACTCTTTTTAAAAATCCATTACCTAATACTGGTCCCAGCTATCTGGAGTCTTGGGAGAGATGGATGTGATATGGATACGATTTCTGGCATCTTTAGCCTGAAGTAGCCACTTCACAGTTGACAGCCATTGCAATTTTCCCATCACACAAAGTGGTGGTCCTTAGAGAAGGATATGCTTATAACGATTATTTTTCTTGTTGACCATCATCATTTCTAGGACATTCAGATTTCTAACTAACTCAGAAATCTGAAATCTTTGTATTGAGTGGATGATGTGTAGTACTTTTTTGGATTGTTAATGTCACTTGCTGAACAAGAATATGAAAAATAAGGCAAGCACAACTTCAAATCTGATTTCGGATTGAGTCCAAGTACATAGATAGTATGTAGGGTTTTTTATATTTAGAACATACTTGTCAAGGCTTTGCCTAGGCAACAAGGTGCCCTTTGGGGAGCACCAAGGCTAAGCACCATGAGTTATATTAAAAAAGTTGTCTGTCTAGGTGAGAAGGCATCCAGCTAGGTGACAAGATTTACAAGGTAGGCACCTTATTGTAATTTTATCAGTGTGATTGCATCTTATTATTATTTAATGCATCCTGACATATAATACAAATATTACTTATGTTTTACTTTAGAGTTGTACTGTTCAAATGTAAAGGATCCAAAGGTTTTATGAAATAGCGCCAATAAAAAATGGTTTTGTGAAAGAGAAAGAAAGAAGAGGACAAAAAAAGGACCCCTTCAATTTTCTTTTCCTTCATTTTCTTCCTGCAAATTACTTATTAAATAGAAAAGGGGCTCTCCCCTTCTCTCTTAACTTCCAACCAGGAAAATACCAGGACAGGTTAAACAGTTGACAGAAATAAGAGTATATCTGTCTCACTGGTTTACACTTCAGAGACAGGTGATCAGAAGATTTCTTGTCAGTCCCACACATCACACACCTATCTGGTTGTATGTTAACTCCTCTTCTTACTAGATTGTCCCTGGTTAGACATCTGTCAAGTGCCACCGACCAGACCAAAAAAGCCACCTTGGAGGGGATATGTGTTTGCCAAACTTCCTTATGTAGGAAATTTGCATTTGAATTGGCAGTTTACTTTGCATACAAAGATTTAACAGAGAATATACCTGATTTTTCTCATTTCAAGCTTCTAGCATCCTCCTGATCTGGATGTGGTGCAGTTCTATTTATAAGGCTTGACAGAGCAGCCAGTTCATCAAATTCCCAGTCATTCATTTTCCTTCTTAGAGATGGGCACTAAGTTTCTTTCCCATCTTGTACTTGATATGAGTCAATTACTCTAGCATCTCTATTTTCTGCAATAATGAATAAGGAAGGGAACCTCTCCATTAATGATATCATACTTGATATGGGTACTAAGTCTCTATCTTTTTTTTTTTATGCAAAATGATATCATTTTTTTTTATGAATAATAATGGAATTTTATTAAAACAGAATCTGATTCAGGATTACAATCTCATACAAGATCCCTTGGAGAGGCACAAGCTGCACCCTCTCCTGACATAATGCAAAGAAACTAGGAAAAGAGTACAAGAATCACATCTGAGCCCAAAACAATTTTTCCCTATTTTCCCCTTGCTTGGCTAACACATCAGCCAAAGCATTTGCTGATCTCCCCACCCACTGAATAGAAACCGACATATTCCTTGTTAGCCATTTAATCTTCTTAACTTCGTTCTTATAGCACCAAACAGTCTCCTCAGGTTTCATTAACCAGTCCACCACTACCTTTGAGTCCCCTTCAATAATTAGTTGCTGACTGCTGTACCCCCATTTGGTTTGCAAACTGCATCCTTGTACAGCAGTTAGCATTTCTGCTGAAACAGAGTCACCAAGTCCCAAAAGAACCCAAGTACGACAGAAAAGCCTCTCCAAGCTCTTCCCCCCCAATTTCAGATGGCCCTGGATTGCCCAAACTGCTCCCATCGAAGTTCAGCTTCAGTGAGGCCTTCAGCTGGAGGACACTACCTTGGGATTACCCTGTTCTTGATGGAAGAGCACCTCACTATTGCCAACCAGTTTCTCCAAAAGTCGTTAAAGGAGAACTGATGGAACAGGTCCAAAGTCTTGAACCATTAATGCTCTATCTTTACACGAATTTTATTATGTCACCCTTTCCCACGTTTGGCTAAATGCCTTGTATGAAACTTTCAATTCCCTCTCCAAATGGAGCATCCATAGGGGCCTTCAGCAGCTCCTTGGTCTTAGTTGAAATTACTAATACCTTTTCTTTTTCTGAAATTATTTGCTTCCACAGGAGATGTGGTTTGGAGGTGAACCTCTCTCTCTCTCAGTTCTTTTCTTAGTAAAAAAATTATAGTATTCTTTAGTTGCTACTAGGGGTATCAACGAACCAGATTTGGGTTGGACCTGTCTGAATCAAAATCAGATTGAACGGATTGGACGGACCAATAAGACATTGAACTGGACCAGTCCAGACTTAATTGTTCAAAGTATTTTTTTATCAATATTAATTGTTCAAAGTATTTATTGGATTGGATTGGACCTGGTCCAGTTTTTTTGGTAGAGAAATACCTGGTCCATTTATAATGGATTTATATTAGACTGGATTGGATTGAACCAATATCTGGTCCATTGACATAAGATAAGAGTACGTGTGTCAATGGACCAGGTTTGGGTTGGACTGAATCTTTTTTTTTTTTTTTTTTTTGAGAAAAGTTTAACCAAATTTCATTAAACTAGAAGAAAATATGAGAGAATGTACAAAACAGGGGGGAACCCCAAAGAGTCAAGGGAGGAATTCTGTCACTATACAGATTTTCTATGTGAGCACCTAGCATGGCTAAGCCATCTGCTATAGGATTTAACTCCCTTGGGATCCAAAACAGATTTGCATTTAGACAATTCAAAGAGTCCCTTACTTCT